CTTGTAGATGTTGCCGATGTACCCATGATGCGTTAGAGTGACACATTCGAGCATAATGACCTGCCTTCTAAGTTTTCTTACAGCTTCCCGCGCAGAGCAGCCATATTGTGTGTGTTTTAAGAGAGACGTGTACATTTACAGACCTTATTTTATTCTTTTCTTCTACTTCATGATTGCATGCAGCAACACACTCAAATGACGTCGTATTGTATTTGGACTGTACGTGCTGCTTCTAGTGCTCTCTCCTAGTCGAACATCAAGTCAAGCGTTCTCGTTTCCAATAATCTTTGATGTGTCAAAGGTGATTTCAAGCAACGTATAAAAGAATCTCGAGTGTATTCGTCCCGTTACTGAGTTGTATTTACAGCTTCGAAATATTAGTTTATGGTTTCTTTGGTCTGTTGACGGTTTGACATTCTACGATTGTAAAATGTTGATAGCATTTTTAATATATAGATATGGTGTTATATATTTTAGTCATAACGAAATTTAGAAGAAATTATAATCTGTCTACTTTATATCTGGTAATAATGCAAGGAAATTTTGCAAAATTATGAATAAGTGTTTCCATTCTTGTGTAGCAGTTGTGGGAGTTAGAATTACAATCCTATCTTTCTGACTCCATGGAACTGAATTACCGTAATGAAGTTGTTCTTGGCATCGTTTTGCCCCTTTAAAGTAAGCCCGAAGTTCAGTTTCGAAATTTTATGTTCCATAAATTGAAATAATTATTAACAATAATAACATCGTAGAATTACTCTTTCTAAAGATTTTATTGGACATAAAATGTTTGATTACAAGCAAGTGTAAAAGCTCCCTTTTCTTCCATTTATAAACCTCGGTATGAATCCAAACAATAAAATAGAGGTAACAAACACTTAAAAGTAAATACGAAATATATTGAGGAAAATATTCGGATAACCCCTCAAATTGTAATAAAGCGTCGTTAATTTGCCATACGTGCAAGTATATTTTCCTATTAGAATGTGTTTAGCGCCATAATTTTTTCTACATTCGTAGTGTATCTTTAATTTTATATTTCTATATGAAATTTCCACAGTCAGTTACTTTAAAAGCCGAAGGATGTCAAACAGAACAATACTAAAATCAAGTCCTCTTGTGAATAAATAAAAAGTCTCGCAGATGCTATCTTTTGTGGACAGGAAACATTCATATAAACTGTAGCTGAAAAACACAATTTACACATAGAAATAACAAATTAAAGCCAAATTTATACAATTATTAGAAAACATATATCTCTAGCGACATACAAATTTTCGACTAGCTAAGCCACACTCACGCTGCACTCTACTCAAACAAATTTTAAAATAAACACAAATATACCTGTGTTTATTTAAAATTAACAAGCGAGCCATTATCGCCGCGACTTTCGCTTGTCACAAATTCTACAACTACGTCTGTGTGTTTCCCTATATATATATATATATATATATATATATATATATATATATAGAGAGAGAGAGAGAGAGAGAGAGAGAGACTTCACACACACTCTAACACGGCCGACTGCCCGTCCGACCTGTGAAAAACGACCTCCGTAGAACAGGTTCCACTCTCAACGCCACATGCCCAAAGCGATAGCCAACACGTAGTCAGCCAGGTTAAGCATACTCCTTTTACACACTCTGATTTCACACCTTGTACACTGTACATTCAAACGCTACACTATACAACTTACCAGAGACATTTTCATATCTTGTAAATGAAAATAAATCTTTCTCCAAACCAGTGTCTAATTTGTTTCTTTATTCCAAACAGCGCCCGGATCAAAAATAGTAAGTGGACAAAAAAGATTACATTAGCTCTAATAAGTTGGAAACAAAATTATTTAAACTGTTTTGCGTGATTTTTACGTCGTTTTCCCACCATCTTATTTTAAATAGGATTTCTTTTCAGGATGTGAACGATTCACAACTTTCTGCATGTTTTAAGTAACTCTTGTCCTTTTGCCTACTCTTTTTTGTGGGCCATGTTATGTCATCCATTCACTCAGACCCGTCAAGGAGGTTACTCGCTGTTTTTCCTTACTTCTCTTGCATTCAATATGCCATGTGAATGTTACATTCTTTAAGCGTTCTTTCCTCATCATGTGTTCTATAAATTTCAGACATCTGTTTCTGATTGTTAGCAACAACTTCTTTGTAGTTCTCATTTTCCCTAAAACTTCCTTGTTACTCACATACTCTGTCAATGGTATTCTTAGTATTCGTCAGTAGAAACACATGTCTAATCTGCTGTATAGAAATGAATATTGAAATGCCCGACTATATTCTCATAGATGAAGAAAAGACTTGAAGCAACAAATATGTGTTTCTAATATGCAGTTCAACAGTTTTCTTTCTTTCTAATATTTCCTTATCTCTTAATACTTTGCTCAGTTTCTGGAAGAGAAATTGGAAACATTTTATACTGTAAATTAGAATTAAACAAA